CCTTAAATTTGAGGTCACAGATCCTTAACAAAAGATGATGAGAGTAAAAGTCTCAGAAAAACGACTGACCTTTGCTCCTATATATACAGGAATACTAACATGCATGTAATTAATTAAGTCGACGTACTCACCTGAATTAGCAACAAAGGGGTACCAATAATATCGTCGGAGCCTGGGACATTATACAGGAAGTCCTCCAAGAATGGACATGGGGGTTCAAGTGTATCCCCGAGTTCCTCAAGCGTGATGTCAGCATCGGCCTCTATGAACAAGACACCTTCTCCATTGCAGTCCACCATAAGCTTCCCATAGAGCCCTTTCCTCACTCTACCAGCTAAAGGGTAGTAATGTACTAATGCTCTACCTAGAGCTTCCCTGATCACCTTAACGGGGTCGTTTTGTTTCAATGAAGGGTTGTTATTGTAAGACAATATGAAGGGAGTCTGAAACCTAAGGCCTTCTTGGTTATCTATTTCTGAGAGAACCTTTTGTTCATGAGGAGTTGGCTTTGCTGGTGTTACAAGTTCTGGCTCCAATCGTTTCACCTGAAACACTAGGGTGCATGGTGATGAGAATGACCCCATTTTATGCAAATTAGAACCAACTCCTTCAACAAAAAAAGAAATGAAGGTTTTGATAACTCTCCTTACTATTTTGCACGATTTAGAGAGTGAGATATGTATGGTATTTATAGGGGTCTAATTGCAACCTTCAATTATGTAGCTTCTCCCTAGTCAAATAAAAATTATTTTTACTTCTCTGTAGCTTTGAATATCAACCTCATTCTCATGATTATATATACATATTCTTTGTCTAGTGTGGAAGCATGTATTTCTTTAGAGTGCTGAATGAACCCTAAAATTAACTGAGTACACCCTATGATCTAAGTACACCATAATATTTTATTTAAAATGCAAAATTAACTAAGTACACCCTATTTAACTCCCAAAAATACTCCTTATACACCTTAATATACTATCACACAACACCCTTTTAAACAAATACTAACCATTAGATTAATCTAATGAATTCTATTAAGCCCACATCATCATAATTGTATTAACCTAAAACTCTCACCATTTGCACCTTCTTAGCCAATACTTATGAAATAAAAAATAAAAAAAGAAAATGTTCCAGCAATAACTACCTCCTTCTCGAGAAATTATAGAATGGTACGGTATCACCATGTCATCTGATGATACTTCCATTCAAAATATGCCACGTGTATTATTTTTTAAAGAAAAATTAACTATTTATGCAGTTCGATTTAAAAGTCTAATTTTATAATTTAAAACTATAAAAATAAAACTAAAATAATAAAAACTCAATAATAATAAAAATCCCCAACAACCCCTGAGCTCGCCGACAAAGCCTCCGCCTGCCCACTTTCTGCCATGGCTCCCGTCGTTCTTTCATTTTTCCAATCACTCTCCCTTTCTCCCTCGCCATTCCTCCTCTGGATTTAGGGTTCATGGAATTTTCTCTCTATGATGGCTTTAGAGTTCTAGGAATTTAGATTGAAGATTTGTTGGGGGTGGGTTTATGGGATTATTGACAAGAAAAGCGAATTTTATAGTAGGTGAATAGGAATCCAATCTTGGTTGCACAACTTTCCATGTATCAATAGCCGAATCAATTTTTTTTCTAATGATTGTGAAAGTGGAATCATCCATGTGTTGAGGTGTCATCAAATTCACACAAAGAATGAGGCAGTAGTCATGGAAGACAGTGGTGGAGGGTTGCTGTTGATGAAGCGGGTGGTTTTTGGGTTTTTTATTTCTAAAGTTTTTTAAAAATCTATTTTATTTTATTTTTAAAGTAAATATGAATGGTAAATTCAGTTGTCAAAAAATAAGAGTGCTGCTAAACGAACCCTAAAATTAACTGAGTACACCCTACTACCAAAGTAGTTATTGTATTACTAATTTATCCTAACATAAAATGACCAAAAAGGATATATTGAATTGGGAAACAAATATAATTTTAATAAATATTCCCTACTCACCATGCCATCTGCTTCTACAAATTTGATTTCCGTTCATCGTTTTACTTCCTACAACAATTGCTACCTTCTCATCTTTCCTGATTGTTTCTTTGTGAAGGACCTCAAGACCCAGAAGACGCATTTCCAAGGGAGATGTGAGAATGGATTATATCCATTCACAAATGGCGGTGGTTTTTCCAATCAATCTTTTTCTGCTTTCGTAGGAACCCGTGTCTCAATTCAAAAATGGCATTCTCGCCTAGGCCATCCAGCTAGTGCAATAATAAAGAATTTGATTTCAAATAATAAAGTGCCAATTAGTGGCTCTTCTCATGTACCGTTTTGTTCTTCATGTCCTTTAGGTAAAAGCACTAAATTACCATTTCCAAATTCAGATTCTGTGTCTTTGTCTCCATTGGCTCTTGTACACTCCGATGTTTGGAGTTCACCAATTGTTTCTGTTCATGGCTTTCGTTATTATCTTCTTTTAGTTGATGACTTCTCTCGATACACTTGGATATTTCCTATGAAACAAAAATCTGAAGTGTTTGATATTTTTGTCAAATTTAAAAAACAAGTGGAAAAAATGCTCAACACCTCCATAAGAGCTCTTCAATGTGATGAAGGAGGTGAGTACACTAAACTCGCCTTTCAACAATTTTTGGCAAATCATGGAATTACTCAACGCTTTTCCTGTCCCAAACATCCAGAACAAAATGGTCTTGCAGAACGGAAACACCGTCACCTTGTTGAAACTGCTATTGTCATGCTTAATCATGCTCACATTCCTACCTCTTATTGGTTAGAAGCCTGCCAAACTGCCACTTATCTCATAAATCGTCTTCCCACACGTGTGCTAAACCATTTGTCTCCTTTTGAAAAATTGTTTCATAGACCTCCTTCATATAACATGCTTCGGATCTTTGGGTGTAGGTGTTTTCCTTGGCTCACTCCATATAATAAACATAAATTACAACCAAAATCAAAAACTTGTGTTTTCTTAGGATATTCTCTTAACCATCAAGGATATAAATGTTTGGATTTATCCACGAGACGACTTTATTTGTCTCGCCATGTCCTATTCGATGAGGACTTTTTTCCATTTCAGGAACTCACATCTTCCAAGGGGAGCGTCGAACACACAGGTACTAATTTTGATCATTCTGCCGTGTTGTTTACTATTCCAGAAACAATTAATTCAAGTTTACCATCAGGTTCTGTTGTTTTGCCTACAAGAGACAATCCTACTTCAACTCCACTTCCTGATTGCACGCCACTTCAATCTCCTTCTCCCACTCAAACACCTACTCCTATTCCCCTAGTTGTTGAGCAAGAGTTTGTACCTCCTAATGAGCCAATAAATGAGGATATTATCCCGCAGGTTGCTGAAGTTGTTTCTCATCATCCTATGGTGACCAGGTCTCGGTTGGGTGTTCAAAAACCCAATCCCAAATATGCCTTACATGTTATTATGGATACTAAATGCATTGAACCAACTTCTTTTAGTCA